GCTTCAATTACTTTGATTTTTAGCAATTTCTCAGCTCTACGATCTATTATCAGGTGAGTTCTTTGTGGTAATTTCGCTATTTTTGCACGATTTGAGGTTATTAGGTTTCTGAAATTTTGTTTGCTGGAATTTCATGAGTACTTTTTTGTAGATTCAACCGAAAATTTAATGTCTATTATGTTTTTCGTGTATGATTTTTGTTTAATTTTGTAATTTTGCATGTTTTTTTATTTTATTTTTTCGATTTGATTTTATTTTTTGAATTTCAACTTAAGTTTCGTTTTAGTAGAAGTATTTTTTAAATGTATTTTGTTTAATTTTTCTTAATTTAAGTAAACTAGGTTTTTATGTGTATTTTTGCTCGAAATTCTGCTTTTGTTGTTCTTCTTCATCTTCTTAGTAACACGATTTTTGTTGAGCATAATTTTGTTTTTGTTGATTTCGAGTTTAGCTGATTTTTGTGGATTTTGATTTCGAATTAATGCCTGTTAGGAATGCGAATAGCTAAAATGCGAATTGTGTGTGTGTGTTTGTGTTTGGAGTAGTTAATTTGAATTTTGAGTAATTTGAAGTGTTTTTAGTGGATTTGTGAGTGAATTCGGGAGAGTTTGGAGTAGTTAATTCGAATTTTGAGTAATTTGAAGTGTTTTTAGTGGATTTGTGAGTGAATTCGGGAGAGTTTGGAGTAGTTAATTCGAATTTTGAGTAATTTGAAATGTTTTTAGTGGATTTGTGAGTGAATTAGTGAGAGTTTGGAGTAGTTAATTCGAATTTTGAGTAATTTGAAGTGTTTTTAGTGAATTTGTGAGTGAATTAGTGAGAGTTTGGAGACATAAATTAGCTACACTGGTTCCTGCTTCCACTTGGTGTCCAACTCGATTTGTATTTTCCCGTGTTCCGTTTGGTGTAGGCAACAGGAATGGTCATCAATCTCTTGCTAATGATGATCTGGAATTGAGACCTGACCAACATGGTGACATGTTTGGAGATGGACTAACTGCCTTGGTTGCATTGGTGTTCCTTGATGCTGTTGTGTTTCTCTCTTACAACCTGTCTTTTCTTATTTGTGATTTGAAGTGGTTTCAGCTGCATCAAATGTCATTAGGTTCCTACATGAATTATTTGCCTTTTGCACTTAGATAAATTTTCTGGTGTTTGTGATATTGATGCAAAGACTCTTTCCACATCAACCGTAGAAAGAAAGAAAGAAAGAAAGAACATAAAGTATGAAGAATGCTTCCTGGTTTAAGATACTGACTTTGATTCTATATGTCCGATTTTTGGTGTTTAGCAGATTGCTTAAGCGACTAACCCAGGAACAAACATCTGGGGTGGATTTGTGATAGATTGCTTCTGATCATGCTAAATCGACATCTACATGACTTTCTTGACTGTTGAAAAGTGTACTTCTAGTCTGACATATGTGCATGGTTAATTTGACTCTGTACTGGATTTTGCTTCAAAATTTCTGAATTAGGCCTGTTTTGAACTTGAATCAAGGTAGCCAGAATTCGAGGATTTGGATACCTTAGTTTGATCTGATTTTCACTGCCCTGACCTGACTTGAATTGATTTTTTTATTCGTAAACAAATTGGTTGTCAAAAGACATAAATATGAATATGACCTGAACTTGTTCTAAACCAAACCAAAATAAACTGAATCTTTTTGGAGGGGTGTTGGACTATGTTATTTTTGAAGTTTTGTTTTAAAAAAAGGTCACTATGCCATAAAAAGAGGCAACTACTTTGGTTTCTTTTGTTTATCTTTTTGTATGTCTTGTTACAGGGTGCAACAAGGATTTTCATTCGATTTGGATTAGATTTTATAACTATGGTGAGAACTAGAGGTGGTGCTACTTTTAAAAAAAGGAGAGGCCTTCGTAGCTCAACAGGAGGAGTTAAATTGAAAGATACAGGAGGTATGATGAATGTTTGATTTTTGGATTATTAACCTTAATATACTAGTTGCTGTATTATGATAGTCTCCTAATACTATAGAATGTAGGTCCCTATATTAATATAAAAGTTACTATATTATTAGTTCCCTATGTAACTGAAAAAGGTCACTATATCAATGACAATGATTATTATTTTTAAGTTATTAGTTTGCTATATTATAATTGTTTGCTAGATTAAAATGAAGATAATTGTATATATAACTATATGCTTGCGTGTTTTTAGCATGTATCAATCTCGATCATGAAGATGAAGAGCATATTGATGGTGGAAGCAAAATGATCGATGATGATACTAACAGAGATAAAGATGCTTGTATTGAAAAAGGATTGAAAAAGAAAGCTATCACTAAGAAAAAGAAACCTTCTAACATTGAGAATGCTATACCTTTGTCAACTGTGATGGAAGGAAAGAAGGGGAATAAGTCTTCTTCTTCACATGCTATTGTTTTGCCAGCTAAGAAGAGAAAGTTGGATGAAAATGAAGGTCTTAAAGTGAAGAAAGTGAAGGAAAATAAGGATAAGAACATTGTGATTCATAGGCAAGAATCTGCAATCATAGATAGTGATGTACATATGTAAGTGAATATTTGTTTCTTTTTTTTGAAGTTTTGTTTAAAAAAAAGGTCACTATGCTATAAAAAGAGGCTACTATTTTGGTTTCTTTTGTTTATCTTTTCGTATGTCTTGTTACAGGGTGCAACGAGGATTTAAAACACGTTGCAGGCCATTTCATTTAGTAGAGATGATTAAAACTTTTTCAGATGATCAAATCAAGGCTGTTAAAGAAATTGGCTTTGGAGGTTTGTTATCTTTGAAGGTGAAACGAACTGCAACTGATATGCTATCATGGTTGGTAGATTGTTTTGATCATGGTAGCTGCATGTTTACTATTGATGGTAAAAAAGATTTTGTTGTGACTGAATTTGATGTGTATGATGTTTTTTGCCTTCCTTGCAAAACATCTAAGAAAGTTGAAGAAATTTCTCGTTGTGCTAATGTCATCAACCCTGATTATGATTTAAAGGTTAAATGGAGGTCTCATTTTGGTCTTATGGGTGAGAATGATCAGATTCCTTTGGGTTTTTTGGAATCTAAGATCCCTTTACTAGTAGATGGTGGGGAAGAATTCAGACAACTTTTTATCATGCATGCTTTTTCAAGTTTTTTAGCACCTACGTCCAACAGAACTGTGGATTTGAGAATTGTAAAATGTTTGGTTGATGTTAATCAAATAAGAATTTATAATTGGTCAAAATATGTCTTAGATAGACTTTGTGAAGCTGTGAAGAGCTACAAAGAAGGAAATATAGAATGGTTTTGTGGTTGTGTTTTGATGTTAGAGATTATCTATTTTCATCGATTGAGGTTTAGGAATGTTGTGTTAAATTCTACAATACCTTTAATTCAACATTGGACTGATGTGGATATAAGAGATAGAATTAGAAATGAAAAGTTGTCCAAGGGTTTTGGGTGTGGAATTCTTGAGTTTGATACATATCCAGTGAGTGAGAAGTTGCAATTTGAGGATGGACAAGTTGTTTGTAATCAATTCAAGGAAGCTCCTGTGAATCAAACTTCTGGAAAAGAATCTGTTGTTTATGAAGGTGTCCGTAGCAATGTTAAGGGTGTTATTCAGTTTGAGCTACCTGCCAGTTCAATGTCTAATGAGGAAATCCGTTCAATTGCTATTGATGTAAGTATTTTACCCTTTAATTCTGTCTGTCTGTTTAGTTTTTTCTTTTTTTTTTTTTTTTTTTTTTGTCACAAATTATTTTATTAAAATCTAAGTGCTACATTTTTTTTTCACAGGAAGTTTATGAGAAGTTTTTGCTCATGAAAAGAGATTTAGAAGTGGTATCTAACTTCTACATGAATGAATTGAAAGTGTTATTTCAGACTCGTAAATCTAATGATGCTTCAACTTCGACACCTCCAATGTCCCAAACTGATTTATTCTTTATGAATCCTCGTGTTCATGAAATTGTTGATGAGATTGTGTCTCTTGTAAATTGGGTAAGCAAAGTGCCTAATGGTTTGGATGATGATGATATTGATGATAATGGTGCACCTGCAAAAGAGATTAATGTTGTAGTTGGTGAGGTTCCAAGGATAGGTTTTGAGCATGTTTTGAGTAATGGAAAATCTAAATGCTCCCTTGCTATGGATGTTAGTCTCTTTGGTGATAAAGTTACATATGTAACTAAATATATGAAGTCAAGTAATAAGGATATGAAGGTTTTGGATGCAGTTGTCCAGGAACTTGTTGACTACTGCATTAGTGATTATCATGGTTTCGATCTCAAGTAAGTCATGTCATTGTTCTTTTTGTTATTTATTTTCAAATTTTAATAATAAGTGATTATGTTAATATACATGTGTCTTTTTATTTCCTTGTACAGTGAGGTGTTGGTATCTTTTGGCAAACCATTTGAGATTACAAGGAATGAATTCCTTTCATTAGGTGCACCGGCTATTGCTATATCTTCTGTTATTATTGATTGTTGGGCTATGTTGCTTAATGAAAACCAGAAGAGTAGTGCACATGGACCTCAAAAACTATATTTTGGTGTTTCTCAAAGTGTAAGTATCTTTCGGCTATTTAGTTACTACATCATTATAATGGTAGTTGTTCATTATAAAAAATTCATAAATTAATTTCACTATGTATTGAAAACAGTCACTATGATTCATAAATTAATTTCACTATGCAATGAAAACAGTCACTATGTAATGCAAGTAATTACATTTAAGAAAAATAACTCTACCTTCTAATTTTTTTAATATTTATTAATGTTTGTTCTTTTTTAGGCTTTTTTACTGAAAGTTGCAAACACAGATAGTAACACACAAGACATTGACAAGCTATTTGACATTTGGTCAAGATGGTTGTTCATTCCTTGCAATGATTTTGATATTGCAAATGTTGAGTTGGTAATACATTGCAAATGTTGACAATCATTTTTCAACTAAGTACTTTTATATTAAGTTTTTCAAGCTTAATAGTTGTTTATTTATTTATTGCAGATATTTGTTCCTACTCTTGAATGAGCACTTTTTCCTAATTGTTGTGAATTTGAAGGAAGAAAAGCTTCAGTTCATAGATAATATGAGTTATGATACAAAGTACATGAGTGAGGTTGAGAAGTTCTCTGATGTTCTGGTAAAAATATGATATTTTGGATTTTATTTGTATTTTTCTAGTTAGGATATGCTTCATGGAACCTAAAGTATTAATTTATTTTGCCTAGAGTGATATGCTGAGTACTTTTCTTGATCAACGCCTTCCTCAAAGTAATGACTCAGTGAAGAACATGATTGAGTATACTTTGGAGTCACCTTCTGTAAATTGGAAGTCTGGAAAACAGAAGAATAATGATAGTGGCATTTATACTATGGTCAGCATGCTTTACTTTGATGGAGCTGATGTGTTCGACTGCAATGTTTTGAAAACGGTTATCTCGTCTCATTTTTTTTATTTGGCTTTCAATTTTTATTATATTAACTATTTCCTCCATGGAATTTAACTAGCTTTTTTATTCTAATTTTTGCTTAAATTTAGGTTTCAACTAGACGGACATTGAGAGCTCAGATTGCTGCTACTCTGGTATTATCTGATATGAACATTGTCAGAGATGAAGTTCTTGAAAAGCTATCTGAATTCAGATTAATAAGGAGTCAAGTTGCAAAAGATGTTTTTGATGGGATTAAGAAGAAAACAAAGCAAGGTAAAAAGGAAAAGAAAGTATAGGCAGACTAACGAATATGTGGATGAAGTTTTTTGCTCGGAAGTATTTGTATTTTGCACAGAAGTAGGAAATCTAATGTAATGATGTAGTTTGCATCAACAAATGGATAATCTGACAAAATTGTATAAGTGTTAATATAGAACAATATGATATGATTCCAGTTCATACAAAGCTTTTGAATTGGTGGTATTGGTAGTTCTTTTGATATGTAATCTTTAATTGACATTCAAGAAAGTTTAGTGAAATATATATTAGTTATAAATTTGGCGCCTATGTTATAAAAAAATGGTACCTATGTTATTTAAAAAGGTTTCTATATGATAAGGTCACTATGTATTTAAAAAGGTATCTATGTTATTTAAAAGGTTTCTATATTATAAGGTCACTATGTATTTAAAATGTTATTAGTTCAATGTGTTAGGTAAAAGTGTCGTATTTATATTAATCTATTCTTAAGCTATTCATTTAGTATATCAATTAAAAGAACGAGCCCCTCCTTCCCTAACTTTGTATTGGCTTAATCGATGTGGATTAGAAGAATTGTTAAAATGTGAGTATTTTTTATACGGTTGTTATATCATAATAAAGGTCATTATATCACTAAAAAGGTTATCACGGAATAAGGTGTCAATACGATGAAAAAAAGTCACTATGACGTTAAAAACACATACTATAATATAAATTGAAGTTATCATATGCCAATATGTCACTACATCAAAATAACAATATAAAGGTCAATAAAAAGTTTAACAATAAAAGGTCACCCTATCAATAAAATTTGAGCAATAAAAGGTCCCTGTTTAATATATGTGAAACAATAACAATCACTATATCAATAAAAAGGGCACTATAGCACTATGTTCTTTCTTTCCTCTCATCTCCTCTATTTCAGCACTAGGCTGTCAGTAGCCGATGTTGCTTCTTGTAAATATGAAGTGGTTTTGCAGCCTTTCTACTCTTCTTTGAAATCCTGAAATCATGTACACGAACATATATAAAGTGAAAATCTAGTGGAAGTAAACATAGTACAAAATTTATTTATTTTTTTCTACAAAAATACCTCATTCAAGTTGGATTTTTTTTGCGGACAATTCCGACTATCATGGTTTGTTCTCTGACCACAAGTTCTACAAAGTCTATCTTTCCTTTGGCTTTCCTCAATAGCTATCTCTTTGTCAGATTTTTTTCCTTTTTCCACTACCACTACCTTTGTTGGAAGACTTGTTTGGAGGAAGAATATCAACAACTATGTCATTAGATCCAACAAATAATTCGATGTGTTTATTTTTTGCCTCACGTTTATCAACTGGACTTATAGAATCCAAGTCTTTCATCTCATTTTCAAAAGATATTAGCTTAGACAACAATGACTCTAGGCATTCAACTTTCTCCTCACAAAGACTTACACATGAAAAAAACCTGCACCATAAATCACCAACTAGCTTTTGCTTCTTATCCTTCTCTGCCCCATCAAGCAAGTTGTTTAAGCCAAAAATTGGTTTCTTCATAGCTTCTTTAGTCCAACAATGTAAAAACATATTGCCTTGGAATCTCAAATAAGAACTTTCCTTTCATGACAAAGAGAATGTGACGACATAATATTCCAACAGATTCAAACATTTTACAAGAGCATGAAGCATCATTAGAACACAAAACATATGTGACATGATAGCTTTTTTTTCCTTGTGTTGTCAACAATTCTATATTGCTCAATCCCTTCTTCTTCTTTGATGGTAACATTACTTATACCACAATTGTACAAAGCATGCTTGAATTCCTTTTGGAATATGTAAAATACATTATGAGTGTAAGCAAATGCAGCATGCTTTTCCAAGTACAGGGGGGTGACAAGTTGGGGATGTGTAGTTTTTGAAGTAGCATTCAACTTGTCTTGTGTGTGCCTTTGAGCATCGATTGCAGATTCATAGCGAAACCACAACTCAACCAATAACAAATGTTGATTGGTGAAATTAGTGAAAAAGCTATTTTCACTCTCTGATCTTTGAGTTGACCTTAAAATCCCACCCATAAATAGGTCACGAAAGTAGGAAGGAATCCACATATTCCTTATATTATACATATTTTTGAACCAATCTTCATTCACTAAATCAAATTCAGACATCACAGACTGCCAACCAATTTCAAATTCTTCTGGTTCAAGGTCTCTATTCCACACAACAGAGTTTAGTTTATGAAGAAAATCAGTTTCTAAGCATAATTTGGGCCCTACCTTTTGTGGCACTTTTTTCATAATGTGCCACATACAAAACCTATGTTTTGCCTTATCAAGAACTTTTTCAATTGCCACTTTCATCGCAGGGTCTTGATCTGTCATGATACAGGTAGGCTGACAGTTATTCATTGCCTTTAAGAAAGTTTCAAATAACCATTCAAAGGATTCAATATCCTCCTTTGCAAGTAAGCCTATCCCAAAAGTCACACACTTACCATGGTGATCAACACCCGTAAATGGGGCAAAAACCATAGAGTATTTGTTGGTGTCAAATGTTGTATCAAATGTAATCATATCACAGAACAACGAATAATTTTTTCTACTAATTGCATCTGCCCAAAATACTCTTGTCAAGCGTTGATGTTCATCCATACAATGCTCAAAGAAAAAGGCACCTTCACTGTTTTCAGCTTTTTCTTTCAAATTGTTTATAAACATCGAAGCATCTTTCTCTTGTATGTAAGCTTTCAAGTCTCGATTAAAGTTCTTGAAATCATTCAATGTTGCACCTATATTATCATAGCTACCAAGATGTTCTTTCATCAACTTATAAGACTTGTTTGGACCAATGTTCAATCTAGAGTTGTCAAAAATGAATTTTTTCTGGCCAAGTTTAAGGTTTCCAACATTTGCCAAAAAATTCATTGTGTTGGGAGAAGCAAGATTGTGGCTATGAGATTCATGAAAGACATAAACCATCCATTTTCCATCTGAACGTTCTCTAAACCCAATCATTGCATTACATCCAACACGATTTATGGTTCTTTTTCTAGCTTTAGGATTTTTATCTTTGTTAGAAACTTTTGCTTTAGTTTCACCATCCTTCGTAAACCCTTGTTTATTACAATGTAAATATTTCAAGTAGACTTTATCACTATCTTTAATTCTCTTTTCAGTACCTAGTCTTACCACAAACCCACCAAATCTAGCATATTGCTTATAAAAATCAACACCTTTAAGTAAGGAATCAAAAAGCATACCAAGTGTAGGCTTTAGTTCAGGGGGACAACACGGTATAAACTCTTTTGTTCCTCTGGGAGTGTAACACACACTTGGGCCCTTTAGTGACGGTAAGTTTTCAGCAACATTGGTAGTTGTAGATGTATTTGAGCAACTACCTTCTTCTGACTCCTCTTGCATTGTCTGCATATAATATCAAATATATGGTTTAAAATGGGTACTATAATAAAATAATCCATTCCATGGTGCAACTAACTGGACACCAACAAAAACAGTCTAAAATATATGGTTATGGTATCATAAAAAAGAGTTACTATATGGTATTAAGCAAGGTGTTAGTCATTTAAGCAAATACACAAACACCTTATGTGCAACAATTTCTCCTAGTGTTTAATATCATATATCCAGGAAAAAAAAACTTTAATATAAAAAAAAATATATATATATTGCAAATATTTATACAAAAACGAAAAAAGAGCATATTGTTGATGAGGATTGAAACTACAAGTTGATGAGATTGAAACTAACTGGACACCAACAAAAACAGTCTAAAATATATGGTTATGGTATCATAAAAAAGAGTTACTATATGGTATTAAGCAAGGTGTTAGTCATTTAAGCAAATACACAAACACCTTATGTGCAACAATTTCTCCTAGTGTTTAATATCATATATCCAGGAAAAAAAAAACTTTAATATAAAAAAAAATATATATATATTGCAAATATTATACAAAAACGAAAAAAGAGCATATTGTTGATGAGGATTGAAACTACAAGTTGATGAGATTGAAACTAAAAAACAGAGCAATCAAATAGAAATTCAAGAAATTCAGCTTATATACAAGGAAATAATCACAGTTATATCGGTATAGTAAGCCGCAATCAACTAGAAATTCAGCTAAAAACAGAAATTAAAGAATGAAGAACACTTACTAAGATTATTGAGGAAGCCCCAAATTATTGAAGAATCACGAGCCCTCAATTTTGGGAGTAAATAATCAAAGTAGCCCTAAAATTTGACGAATTGAGGAATTGACGATTTGATAATGAGATGAAAAGAGGATCTGCTGAAATTTGCTGAGATTTTGCGTTTTTTCAGCAAAATTAACAGAGGATTTGCTGAAATTTGCTAAGATTTTGTGTACCTTGTATTTCAACCGTTAGATTATATCATTAATAATCAATGGCTGAGATTTGCTGTTTTTAGTTTTCACCATAAGCCCTGTTTTTAGCGGAACCCTCCCGTATGTATATATATATATATATATATATATATATATATATATATATATATATATATATATATATTTGGAACCGGGAGGAAAGCTCTAACCACTAGAGTTATCCCTCACGCACTCTCATACTAACACTAATATATAAAACACAATGTATGTAGTTAACTATTGTATTTGTATAAAATACTGTTTAGACTACTTCTAATGTATATTATGAAATTTAGTTTTTTCTTAAAAAAATTAATTAAGAGACAATAATTTATAATACTAGCCTTTTGGCCCGTGCCATGCACGGGTTATGCATAGGAAAATTAAAAAAGAAAAATCGTTAGCAATTTTTTGTCCCTTGGAAAATCAATGAATGTTTTTAAATAATATTGTAATTTTTGCATGAGTGATTGATTAAATATCAATCAGTGCAATGAAAGTTAAGAAGTAGGGGAAGAAAAGAACTTGTATGTGAATTGAATAGAGAGATAAATAATACAATTGATGAAGAATGTTAAAGGGTTTTAAATGTTAGAGATGAGTGAGAACGATAAGAGTGTTAAGGCAAAAGAAATTATAAAAGTTTTCTCATGAAAAAAATTATAATAAAATAAATTCAAATGGTGAAGGAGAGGAGAACATATGTTGTATATAGTTTGTGTTTTCATGTAATAGGTATATAAGTACAGAGGAAGCAGGTTAATTAATTTAATTTAAGGTCTCCATTATTCAACATAAAACAGTTGTTATTTATGCACTATTTGATTGAAAATTTAATTTTTACTTTTTATAAATCACATGTTGTCATTTCTATATTAGTTTTAGTGTATAGCTTTTTTTTTTTTTTTTTATATTATTATTATCATCTTAAAAATATCTTAACTTATATAGGAGATATGTATATTATGGCTAAGATGATATAAAATTTTATATTCTCTCCATTTATAAAAAATGCAAGAGGCGTTGACTTAATATATATTGAAAATTGAACAATGTTCATTTTATTTTTTATTAGCTTAAATTTACCAAAATCAATTTTGATTTGGTAAATATATTGTGAATCTTGTGTAATCAATGTTTAAATAGTAAATGTTATGTAAAGTGAAAAAAAAAAGAAAAAAAAAAATCAAAATAGTGATTTTGGAGGGAAAAAATAGCACCAAAAAGTGACATGTGTCACTTCCGATATTTATTTTAGTATTAAGTTATTAATGATTGATTAATTAAAAATCAAAGCCTTGTGTCACATGCTTATTATATAGTACACTATGTAACAACAATATTGAAAATCATGCCATGCAGTCATGCACGACCAGATATGAAACTGTTAGAGACTTTTGTGTACCAGTCTTTCTTCTCAAAAGTCAATAACATAAACCAAACTTCATAAACAGCCATTTTATTCTTGTAGTATTCAAGAAGTTATCTCTCTTTTTTTTTCTTTTTCTTTTTTTTTTTTTAAAAAATAATGATCTAATAAAATTTCCTGTTAATCTTTTATCATAACGTGTCCTCTCCCCAATTACAATTGCTTCTTTATTTATTTTAGCAAACAATAGCTAATATATGTAGCATCTCTGTTGCTTCTTCCATAGTTTAGTTTAGTTTGATTTTGATAGCTATATATGTGCTCTTTACACTTTGCACTGACCCATACAAGCTAAGGTCTTTTCCACTATTATATATATTAAAAGTTAAGCATTCTTTAGCTAGTTTATGTGAGGTCTTATGCGTTTTAATTTAATTATAACTAACTTTATACAAGTATATTTTAATAATGATCTAAGTAAAATTATATTTAAAAAGGCTTGTCAAAGATGGAGGTAGGAGTTGAATATATATATATATATATATATATATATATATATATATATATATATATATATCAAACTATTAATTAAAAACACATATAAGCATAATGATTGGATTAAAACTATGAACATCTATCAAGAACATCAAACCACAAAAACTGATAATATAAACAAGTTTAATACTTCAAGTACGTCAATTTCTACTTAAAATTAATACCAATAAGACCATTACTTGAAACAAACTCACATTCAAATGCTTTCAAGTACACTTTTCTACTCCTAGTAATTTTTATAGTTATTACTCCATACTATATAGAGAGATGATAGATTACTAACGCCTAATTCATTAAACATGTAATAACATAAGAATAATACGGATTCGAAAATGTGATACTTGGTGCTATAATAGTAGTAAGTTGAAAGGAAGAAATGCCAAATCTCTTAACCCACAAGAATCATGCAATGCAATTTCTTTATTTTCCTTTTGGTAAGCTAGCTAGCTTATAATATGAGGATGAGATTGCTTTAGCTTTTTACAAATTGAGTTATTTTTCCCCACCCACAACACAACTCACAATCACAATTGATTAATATTAAATGCACATGAAATATGGATAGATACTATAGATTGCCAGATTGGTTAGCCTTAAAGTCTCTCTTTAACTTCCTTTTCATATTCCATACCAATCACCTTTCACCACGTGTACCCCCTCGATCATGTTAATTACATATATACCCTTCTTCTTTAGAACATTGCCCTACATTTTTACAAGACTCGGGACTTGAATTGGGGTACACTGCCAATTGGCATGATAGCTTTGATTTCATGTTTTGACACGTGGCATTACACTATTTGGGTCCCACTTTTGTAGGACTATGATCTTTATTTTTTTTGCCTAAGGTCCAAGTCACACTATATTTGCTCCTAGTGAAGCTAACAAGAGAGACAAATGATAATGTATCATTGTATTCATAGCTTTACTTTGTTAAGGACATTTTCGTCCTCTTCTTCTTTGTTTCTTTATCTATTTCAGTGATACGATCTTACGAATGCCAGCTATTATTTCAGGGTGATATATTGTACTGTATGAGTACTTCCTATTTATGGACATAAAATCATAGAGCATTAATTTTTTTTTTAATTTTATTCATATCACAATATGTATGTTAGAATGTTAGATGAAGCATTGTGGTTATCAAACACAATACGTTTATCTATTGCTTTTGAAAGCAATTGTTTGTATTTTTGTTTATTTTTTAAAAAAGTTTTGAAAGGTTTTTTTGTCAAACTTGTCTACAATTGTATTGGTTCAATTAGAATCTTGAAAAAGTCGGGTATTGTGAGGTAAACTTTATCTTGAGCTCTTTACTAATAATGTTGGAGACAAACTATTGCAAATCAGTTATACATTTATTTCAGAATAAATAAATGCGTTCGTAATTCGACTATAAAAATTGTATTTACCAATCATATCATAATGCATATATGGCCCGATATAAAATTTATGCAACGGTGTAATAGGCCTACTTATACACGTATACCTACAAGTTGCAAATATGCAATTAAGGACATGGTCTAACATAAATGATTTGCTTATTTATAAATGGTAGTAGTGATTTACATATTTTCATAAGCAATATATATTGTCCAAGGCAAGTTAATGGAGTAGCAATGTGGATTCTATTTTTTTTTTTTAAACGGTAATAAGATACGGGGGAATCCCCCTCCTATCACAGGAAGTGGGGATGAGGAGTTTGTTACATATCATACACCTTTATAGTTTATATTACATTCCGCCGAGAAGCATGCATGTATCATAATTAAAAATGTACTATAAATAGTAAATCTAGATTACATATAAATGAAAATTTGAAAAATTTTAGGGACAAAATCTCAACATTTGTTCATTGTTCGTTATAAATTGCTCTAAGAAAAAGCTTGTTTTACTATCAAGGTGTCACTACTTTTAAATTTTATTATTAATCATGTAAGATGTACTATAACAAAGAAAGTGCACAACAATAATGTCTATACAGGAGTACAGGACATAATTATGGTATGTGGTAATTCGACTTAATTAAGTAGTCTAAACTTATGTTTGTAAACAATTAAACTTATTCTTTCTAGTATTAGGTAAATCATTAATTAACCTACATAAATTTGTTAATTTGCACGCACTAGATAACTATAGGAACAAAAATGTGTGGATGCATGCATGGCAATATGGCATGAGACAAAGGGTACAAGCTAGTTGGTTTGTTTCATTCAATCTTGCTTTTCACGTATACATTGCATGGTGCACCACAATATTAGGCTATCTCTTTGTTAGTTTCAACTTTCAAGGTCCCAGTTGTCATTGATCATTCGTGCATCTACATGCAACAACTTTGGTATGAAACCTAGCTAGCAAGCAAGAAATTTGATGTAAAGTAACTTAGTTTCGAGTGCCATTGATATAATCTATCTCAGCATACAATTCTCAACATTAACCAGTAATTAATAAATAACTTTGATTTGTAAAGTTAATTATTGCTTATTTTGAAATCGGCTAGCTAGCCGAGCTAGGGTAACTATAAATATTCAACCAATGGATTGGAGTATTTACCTCAAGGATTGATTTTTCTCACATTATATGTTCAATAATACTACGTATATATATTATACTCCATATAAACTTAAATGATTTATATCTCAATAGCAATAACCAATGCCATATTTTAATAGTTGTCCACAAATTAATATCGGCGCATATAAGAAGTTAATTAAGATCTCAATTACAAAGTATCAGATTGGCAATGACTACGAGCGAGTACAATAACAACCTAAGCTAAAACCCTAATCCTCCGTAATAAGAAGATCCACAATATCAATTCAAATTTTACCTCATAACATACTATCATAAAGTTCGTAATAATTTTATTTCGCTTCTACTCGTCTCACATATAAATAATGCTCATCCATAGCACAACTAACTGAATCTGTGCAACAGCACATGTAACACTCGAAAATTCCAAGTTA